ACACACACCACCACCACCACCACCACCACCACCACCACCAGGGCCTTGGCCCAAGTCATGAACCTGACTATGGTGCAAGGATAAGAGTAGCAGAGTGAGGGAAAGAGATTCTGGGTCTGTAACTGAGGACAAAGGACAACAGAGGATTCACTGGACTCTTGGCTGTGGACTCAAGGTGCAAAAATCCTGACTGCCTTCTTCATAATCAACATCAACCAATGGTTTCAGAAGATCATCACCACCATCACCACCCCCATACACACATACCCACCACTAAACCACTCATACAAGAGGAAAGGTTATTTGATTACCAGAGTGCTCTAGTCCTTAAACTAAAACCCACTTCCACAGCATTTCTATAGGACAGCACAGAATTGTCCCATAGTGTGTGCAAGGCTGTGATCTTTACAGAAGCAGACTGACACCTTTCTCCCTTGGAGCAGCTGGTGGGTTTGACCAGTGACCTTTGGTTGGCAGCCAACTGCTTAACCAGGTGTTACCAGGGCCCTTCCCTTTATCCAAGACCTACAATTTTACCTCCTTCAGCTCGCTCCTGTTTCTTCACCTCCCCATCTCCTGTTCACTCTCTGCCCTCCAGCTCCTTTCTCCAATCATCCAGCTCCACCTACATCTCAAGGTCTGGCCCCTCTACCTCGGGGGGGGGGGGAACAGGTGCTGCCTGCCTTCATCCCCCATTCCTCTTCACGCAGTGAACGCCTACCAGCCTTCAGACTGAGGAAGAAGTGGGTTACATTCCTGAGTGGAGATCTAAACTTCAGTTTCAGTTCCTCATTTCTGCTTCCTAGGACCACCAGGACAGAAGAGTTCACATATTTATGTTAAGTCAAAGTAACTGTAGCAGTGCCTAGCACTTAACTAAATGTTAACTCCTCATTCTTATCTCAGCTCAAACATCACTTCTACAGAGAGAAGCTTTCTCCCCGGATCCTGCCTCTTAGTCCGATTCCTTCTTTAAAGGCTCTTTCCTTCTGAGCACTTACAGCTTCACCATTATTCATCATTAGCGAGACCGTGGGAGTAGTGGGAGGTCCACCACTGGTCATGAGGGCATGGTTTGGATTTGCTCACACTCTATTCTAGAAGTGAGCAGGTTTCCTGACATATGGTAGGTACTCAAATCCAAACTTCATGAATGGATAGACAGATGGACAGATGGACGGAAATATAAGCAACCAAAGACAACCCAACTGGCACTGAGGACAAAAGGTGGCCCTTTCTCACGCTCCAGCTTTAGGTCCAACAGCTTCCACTCCACCTCAAGGAGCTTTCCAGGGTCCTGGCTGCCTTGTGTTTTCTACAGTGGTTCGTCAGCATCTCCAGCTTTCTTTCTCACCTTATTATTTCTGGTGGGCCCCATCTCGCAAAGACAGCAACTGAATTTTTAGGGGCCAAATTTTCTGATGTCACTGGAGTAAGGTGCTCCAGAAACTGAACACATTCACTGCTACAAGGGAAAGCTGGGGAGGACAAAAGTAGCCAAGTCAGGAGTGACCCTGAGTCCTAGTCCTTCCACGATTGGACTGAGGAAGCATCTAAGGAGGATGTTTTACCTCCTTGGAAACCAATAAGAGAAAACTCCCGTGGTAAATTGGAGATTAAACCAGATGCCTTCTCAGGTCTCCTCCAGAGTCATGGAAGCAATGTTCATGAGCCCTGTAGGAGCCTTGCAGCACTAAACTGCATAGTCAAGGTCCCTGGTCTCGGGGGGTTGGTGGGGTCATGCAGTAAGAAGACAGATGGTATACAAGTAATTAAAACAATTCATTCATTATTCACAAGTGTGCAAAAGCAAGTACAGAGTTTGCAAGGAAACAGGGGGAGAGGTCCCCATTATATAGTCGGAATTCCCTGGCAGGAAAAGTGTGCCATGGTTCTTAGGGCAGTTCTCCCACATGGTTCAAAGGAAGAGCGCATTTAGCAGGTATGTTTTCAGTAAATGTCTCCACTGAAGAGGTTAGACAGTGCTGCGGGTATAAGCCAGCATTCCTTTGCAACTACAATGAACCTCAACTACTGGCTTGCAACGAGATGCTTCCCCAGAACTGTCATTAAATCATCCCAACAAACCCAGGAGGGGCAACTATCCCCACTTTACACATGGGGAAACTGAGGCTTAGAAGGGTTAAGTAAGTTAGTTGTCTTAAGACCACACGGAGTGAAACCAAAGATTGTGTTCTACCAGCCATCCCAGGCCTCCCAGCGGGTGAGAAGTGGGCCTTGTTTGGCCTTGCCACAAAGCTGAGGAAGCAAACTGAAAATAAAACACCAAGCCAAGGTATTTTCAATCACCTCATATGTGACAGTGAATAAGGACAGTGAATAAGGAAGACCTTAGAAGAATCAATGCATTTGAATTATGGTGTTAGCAAAGAATACTGAAAGTGCCATGGACAACCAGAAGAACAAACATATCTGTGTTGGAAGAAGTGCATCCAGAATATTCTTTAGAAGAGAGTTTGATGAGACTTCATCTCTTGTACTTTGGACATGTTGTCAAGAAAGACCAATCCCTACAGAAGGACATCGTGCGTGAAAAAGTGTAAGGTCAGCAAAAAAGAGAAAGACCCCCAACAAGAGGGAGTGACACAGTGGCAGCAACAATGGGCTCACACATAACAACAATTGTAAGGATGGCACAGGACGAGGCAGGACTTTGTTCCATTATGCGTAGGGTCACTATGAGTTAGAACTTACTTGATGGTACCTAACACCAACAACAACAACATATAGTACTTTTGGTTACGTGAGACCCACAACTTGTTTAAAGATGGACAGTGAAGTGTCTCATAACAGTTAACACTGTCCTAGCCACATGTCCACCATGACACTAGCATCTTAAATATACAGAGAAGCTTCAAAAAGTTCACGAAAAAATTCCATCTTTCAATTCCATTTAATTTTTACCTTAAGGTTGAACCACTAAATGGCCATCATACCTGATTTAGAG